GGTCTTCTTCACTAACCATCATGAACCTGGACAGGAGACTCACGTGGTTGGCAGCCACACAAAAATATTTTTCCTGACTTGCATACACGTGCCAGGTCACCATAATTCAGCAGCTGACACACTATTCTGTTCAAATTACAGGTTTTCAGACAGCTACACCCAACAGCAGAGGAACAGCCAAGCAAGGCGCCGCTGTTCAGAGACCTCATCCTGGACTAAAATTACTCATGGAGCATGGGAGGGCACTAGCACAGGCCTCACTTTCCCCAAACACCAGACGCACGTACAACCGAGCCTTAATGTTATTCAACAATTTGTTTCAGAATACATCATTACGAATCCTTACAGGTTAGATACTATGGCACACAACACCATAAAACTATTTAACTGGAATACAGCATCATGTAAGCAACACATATTCCAGTATAAAAAACTTCCTATCAGCACACCCCATTAAAAATATGCTAAAAGGCATCCAACGCCTAGAAAACCCAAAACCTACTAGACGGCTACCAATTGACGCAGAGAAATTCAGGGCATTGTCTGACATGTTAGATACCAAACCCTTTGATAATCACACCAATAAAACACTCAAAACAGCCATATACCTGGCATTTTATGGGTTTATGCGTCCCAACGAACTCACCTTAAGCAACATCAACAATAAGGGAAATATACTGTGCGTGTCACACATAAACATAATAGGTGATCACTACACATTGTCATTAAGACATTCAAACAAATCAAATGGGTCCGCACCTTGACATTCAATTTTACCCAACCGGCAATCATTGGTGCCCCGTACAACTATTCGACAAATACATGGCAGGTATGGCTTATCAACCCAGACAAGCTCCTCTCCTCACAATACACAGTCAACCCCTGACTACATCAAAATTTGTCAAATACGTGAGACTACTATGTACAAGAATCGGGTACGATCCCACGGCATATACAGGCCACTCCTTTCGTATCGGAGCGGCAACATCAACCTCCAGCCAAAACGTACCAGTTCATATTACCGTTACATACCTCAACCTGAGAAAGAGTTGAGACAAGCTTTTAAACAATTGGCAAAGTAGGGAAGCTCGGGTAATAATGTATGTGTATACGTATTAAAGTGTGGAACTGATACTTCTCTTTTGCCCTCTTTATTTACAGGCCGACCCGTTTGTCGGTTTCGGCACACTACAACCGACTTAGTATATTAGACTAATGATTAGAGGTATAGGTCCACATAAATACGGCCTTCTTCCCTGACCACAAATGGGAAGGCGAAGCCTGGAGTTGTGGGAGGGGTTGCAACCGGCCTATATAAACCCACTACTTACCTCCATACCTTGCTGACAGTGCTTGGTTACTTCCTGTTGCCCCACCCACCACTCCACAAAAGGAATCAATGAATTGGTTGGCCCTCTTTATTTACAGGCCGACCCGTTCATCGGTTTCGGCACACTACAACCGACTTAGTATATTAGACTAATGATTAGAGGTATAGGTCCACATAAATATGGCCTTCTCCCTGACCACAAGTACACTTTACACTTTAATATGTATATAGGTTGTCTGGGTGCTTGAAGTGTCCCTGTACATATGATATGTCAACACATTTCTCATTATAACCAGGGATATATAGTGCTCACATCCCTCATGAGAGCCAGTAGAAATCAATATGTATATTTGCTTTCCCTGTCTTTACTTACATGTAAAACTGCAGGAGAGTTTCCATTTTTTTTTTTTTACTTTTTTTTTGAAGCTTTAATAGATTACAGAGTAAACTCACAGGGCTGTGCTGCATAACACAGAAATGACAATGAGTTTGAACACCTTTTGCTGTGAACGGAAAATGCACAAATAATGTAAACCGATTTAGATTCAGAGGTGGACGCATAGCACACGTTAAAATATTAATATTTAAGGAAGTAGTTGGCATAGTGGATTTGTAAGGGAGTTGGCAATTTCCCTCAGGATGTTTGGGTTTAAATGATTGTGGTCCACAATGGGAATCTATTTAGCCACACAAATGCTGATGCTAAATAGCCTTGGGCATTTGTAAAAGGCTTTGGGAAGCCGATCTGTCAATCATACCAATAATGGTGTCCACAAAGCAGATCAGTAATTGACAGTTCCGACTCCCAGGAGATTCCCCGGCAGCTGAGATCTTTACGGGGATTTATTGTTTTAAATGTTCTATTAAAGCATGCTTAGTTATGAGTTTAAGTAGCACTGTCTCTTTTATAAGTTATTTTCTGCAAAATCGTTTAGTGCTATGAATCTATGCAGCTCGTAAACAAAGCAAACCCTGCTTGTATGCTTGTTGTTTACAAATTACCAAAATGCTGCATTTTAATTTAATTTCCTACTATCACTAACTTATCACTTCACCCACATTTCTTTAAACGCTCACACTTTTCTTTCCCTCATAAGAATAACAAGTGTTTGGAATCAGTTGCACTTTGGGAAGCTGAAATATGTTTGAAAAATATTCTCAAGCAATTCCAACCCACACCAACTTCTCTTTTAAGATGATATAGTTCAATCTGTATTACGGGCAGACAGAGAAACTAAATGTGTTCTGCTGTCAAGATCAAACAGCTGGAGACAAGGTGATTATCCAAGTCCAACATAGTGTCTCGGCATCCGATTTATTTAACAGTGCTTTGAACACGACAGGCAGACTATATTTCACTCTTTGCATCCATGCTGAGTTCAGAGTAGGATTAGGGATGTCTAGGGCCCTAGATATGATGCGAAATTGGGCCCCCCTTCCTACAGCTCTGGGCTCTGTACTGTGAGTGCTGTGTGGCTGAGTGTTGTATATGAGTGTGAAGATTTTTGCAGTGATCTGGTGGGAGAGCATTATAGTATGCACCAATATAAGTTACAGATCACTGTGAGGAAGTTGCAGCCCACTAAGGAAACATAGAAGATGGGTAGAATAAATGTACTCAGAAAGTAGACAGCACAATGACATCACATGACAGGTTCACTTTAATGTAGGTGAGCCATTCCAAGGTTGCCCAAGTGCAGTTCTCAATGGTTACAATGAAACCTGGCTATTACGAGATGCTTCAAGGTATTCCACTGAGGATGTCCACCTCTAGTGGCTATCAATATACTTTATTACAAGGTTTAATAATATGGGGTACAAAAGAAAAGAGGGAAAGCAGGAAAAACCATAAAAGTGGTGCATATTATAAATAGCAAAAATAACCATAATAACAATCCCACAAAATACATAACAAAGTAACAATATAAATCTTGATCTCATAATTGTTCACAGTGGTCATACACATGCCATTTTTGAATACTCATCATGTCGCTAGCCCCCCATTCTCCTTTCACTAAGGTCTCCTGGTTGGTATATCTATGAAAGCATCTATATGTATTTATACAAGGACGTAATCAATATATGGAGTTTTTTAATTTTTTCACTCTTTTTTCGCCTTTCCTTTTACTTCTCTTCCTCACCCCTTTCCCTCTTTCCCTTTCCTAATTCACTCCCTAACCTTATTCCACTTCCCCTCATTTCCCTTCTCTACTTTTACCTTCTACTATCATGCTCCATTATTGCTCTGATAGACTACATGCCAACGAGTCGAGTCAAGGTTTCCAATCCTCTATAAATTTTACTTGACTCTTTGCAGATGCTACAGTCATCTGCTCATATAAGTAATACTGCTGTATTTTATCAATCAAATGATTTCGTGTTGGGCAAATAGCCTGTTTCCAGTTCCCTGCTGTGAGATTTCTCGCTACTTAGCTTACAATAGCTTTTAGATATTTAGAAGCATGTGTCTGTCTAATTGGGAATAACTAATAAAATTAAATAAATGAACTAAATAAATAAATGAACTAAAGAAATAAATATGTAGATTGACTGTCATGTCTATTATATGTAATACCCTCAATATAGTTGTAACTTCCATCCACAATGGTTTAAAAACCTTACATTCTCACCAAATGTGCATCATGGTCCCCTTTCCCTCTCTACATCGACAGCAGCAAGGTGGTATGTTGGGATATATATTTTATGGAGTCGGCTTGGTGTCAGATACCAACTATAAACTAACTTTTGTATGGGCTTCAATATGTAACAGGAATTGAGACCCTTTAGCGCATTCAATGTCTCAATCCAATGTTTCCCTTTTGGCGCCTAGTCCCATTCGCCCTCCATTGTGTCATAAAACTAAATTGTTAATCCAGGATGATCTCTAGCATGGTTCTTTAACATAGGGACAACATCTTAACAACTAATCGTATGTGTACTTATGTGATAAATTCTAAATTTAGCCATAGTGAGACAGCCCCCAGCTCTGAGACTGGCTCTGATTGGTGGAATTTCTCTGCAGTATCTATAGTTTTCTGAATTTGGTCCAAAATACAGAATGTCAATTCCATCATTGGTAATACAGAATGCATCTTATATCGAAATGATTTAGGTGCCCACAAGATGTCCACCAGCATGCCTGGGGGAACCCGAACCCTCTCCATGTCCACTTCTGCATCTTGGACGTAAAAATCCAAAGGCAGAGTACAGAATATTTGATCGAGTGCTAACCTCAACATCTGAGGAAAGGGATTTAGGGATGATTATTTCTGATGACTTAAAGGTAGTCAGACAATGTAATAGAGCAGCAGGAAATGCTAGCAGAATGCTTGGTTGTATAGGGAGAGGTATTAGCAGTAGAAAGAGGGAAGTGCTCATGCCATTGTACAGAACATTGGTGAGACCTCACTTTGAGTATTGTACACAGTACTGGAGACCGTATCTTCAGAAGGTTATTGATACCTTAGAGAAAGTTCAGAGAAGGGCTACTAAACTGGTTCATGGATTGCGGTATAAAAAAAAAAAAACTTACCAGGAAAGGTTAAAGGATCTTAACATGTATAGCTTGGAGGAAAGACGAGACAGGGGAGATATGATAGAAACATTTAAATAAATAAAGGGAATCAACACAGTAAAGGAGGAGACTATATTTAAAAGAAGAAAAAATACCACAAGAATACATATAGTCTTAAATTAGAGGGACAAAGGTTTAAAAATAATATCAGGAAGTATTACTTTACTGAGAGAGTAGTGGATGCATGGAATAGCCTTCCAGCTGAAGTGGTAGAGGTTAACACAGTAAAGGAGTTTAAACATGCGTGGGATGGGCATAAGGCTATCCTAACTATAAGATAAGGCCAGGGACTAATGAAAGTATTTAGAAAATTGGGCAGACTAGGTGGGCCGAATGGTTCTTATCTGCCGTCACATTCTATGTTTCTATCATTAGGTGCATGCATTTTTACTGCCGATTCTAATATAGAAGCCTGATAATAAGGCAAAAAATGTGGCAGGCCTACACATCCCTCCTTTATGAATATTGTAGAAGGGCCAAGGGAACTCTAAGCTTATGCTTAAATTACACACTGCCTGTAATTTTTTGCAAAACATACCTAGATTTTACCTGGTAACATCAGGAGCATCTAGAGGATTTTTTTGAGGTTACACCATCTTTAATGCATGAATTTTACCTACCCAGGATAATGTAATTAACTTCCATTTAAAAAGATCCTCTCTACACTTCTGCATCATAAGAGTATAATTCAATCTAATAATTTTGACAATGCTATTTTTACTCCTAGATAAGTGATATCGTCTCACCTTGAGAAGGATATCGACCGCGAACATAGAAAGGTGAGAGACTTTGCAGTCCATTTCTATACCCCTCAAGTGCAAGGAGAAGACCCTCCATTTTGGTTATGGATATATAAGAGAGGATATTCAGGATCTTTCTCATATTATCTGCTCCTTGCTTGCTGTCCACCTGGTCATTATGAATGATTTGTGTTAGTATTTGGATACTCTATTCACTAGAATGTTTGCATAAAATTTCACAGCACTGTTTAGCAAGGAAATAGGTTGAAAATTTGAATAACTATGGTATATGGTTTACCCAGCTTTGGTATTGTGGATATATATGCCTGACGCATCTCTGGAGGTAAAGCATTCTGATTATAGCAATGGTTGGATGCTATTGGTAAATCCGTCTGGACTTGGATATTTGTGCGCTGGCAGGCGAGTCACAGCTTGTAACACATCTTGTTGTTTCAATGGTCTAGAGAGGTGGTTGTGCTCCTCTGGAGACAAGCTGGGGAGTTCCACAGAGGACAAGAACTGCTCGATTTCTTCTCAGGCAGGTGTCAAAGTGGACTGTCCTTTAAATTATATAAACCACTGTAGGATGTGGCAAATTAATCTACAATCTGTTTCTAATTCAAGGTTTTTCTGTTTCTTGGTGAAGTTAATATGTTTAATAAAAGCTTTATTCGCTTGCCAAAATAAATCCATTGGGGAGTACGGGATTTATTAATCTGAAAATAAGAAGCTAGTTCTTCATGGATTGCAGTTTATATGTTTGGATCTAAAAGGATTAAATCATTCAATCACCATGAACCTTTCCCTCTACATAGAAAGCATTCTGACAGTATCAATGTAATACGTGCATCAAACCGATCAATAAACAATAAAATCAAAGTCCAAATGCTGAAAATATCCTCCGATACGCGTTTCTATACTCATCTCCTGGTGTTAATATACTACACTAGAGAGATATTTCCTATTTGTGTTTTCTCCTGAGTGTGGAAGAAAGAAAACAGAAAGAGGGAAGGTGTCTCCCTCCTATGCGCACCAAGACGCTTGAGATTTGAGCCAGTCCTTTACTTGGCTCTAGACTTGTGAGTTTGGTCTTTTTGTACTTAGGATTCATTCACTAACCCTTGATATACTTCACTATTGCACTTTCTTTATTTTTTGTTTTACATGTAACCTCTGTCTGGGATACTTAATACCTCTGTATTGTAGGGGTAAGTACTACTGCTAGTGCTCCACTTTTAGGAGTTTGTTTAAGTGGTTTGGTTTCTACCACCCCTTTTTAACTCCCCTATTTCTACATTCTGTACATTTGGTGGATTTGAGAGATCCAATTTTAAGTGTTGCAGCTGCTTTAAAATTATTGCACTTTTCTACTGCACTTTAAGCGCCTTAGATACACAGGGATCACTTTAAATTATATTTGAACTTTGTGCTTGGTGGCCCAATTAATTTGGAAATTTAGCCCTTAAGTGTTGAGTGAAATACGGTGAATTGATTCACTTTATAAGAAGCACTAGATTGGACATCAGTGGAGGAGGCCATGCACCGAGAGAGTATCGGTGCTGGGAAAAAAAGGTAATTAACGTGTCTTTTTTTATTGCACTTGGGGGTAAGGTGGTGCCCTGAATACAAATAAGGACAGCAAGAAATAGAGTTCCACGGGTGTCACAAAGTAGGGTGAAAGCTATTTATTTATTTTTTATTATTGGAGATCAAAAAGGATAAAAAAGATACAACCTTCTGGCCTAGATGCCTTAGTCATTGCACAAATAGGGACAGGAGGCACCATAGCGTCAGGAATACAGGTTAGTATTGCTAATTCTACAGTGTTCCTTTAAGTCTAAGCTGTATTATTCATTTTTGTAGGAGAGTTAGCCTGATTATATGATGTAGTCTCCATTATGCTGCTGAAACAAACACCCACCTCTGCACCCTGAACAGAACAAGATAGATACAGGCTCTTTATCCATCCCAAGAGAGGGAGCTAATTGCATCCAACTGACTTGTGGCTGGTTTGAACTACAACGAAAACTAAAACACTTCAACCAACAGTCAACACAAATTAACTCATTTAGAGACTGCAGGACAGAAACAAATAACTCAAAGAGAAGAGAAAACCCGCACAGCCTATTATTGTAGGGGATGTGCCTAATTAGTAGCAAAAACATGAAAAAGTGCATGTTGCTCAAAAAATTTAATAGGACAACATCATATTAGAGCAAGCAGTCAGCTTCAAGCCATTACTACTGAAAATATATGTTTTACTAAAGCATATTCTAGTTGCAAAAGTCAAATAGCTATTTGTAGAGGAATTAAAGCCCTTGTGATACTTTATTCTGTTGCTCTGCCTGTGATTTAATGCCCAGACGGAACTCAAAGAAAATAGTACCAATATTTCCATTATTACAATGTTGCATGGTCTTCAATTTATAATAAAATAAGATAAAGTTTTCTTGGAAACAAAGTTAGTTTAACTGTCTAAGCGAATACAATCTTGATACCAAACTCCTTTTGTGTTTTAACAAGACCGTCTGTTTTTTAAAAATTCATGAGATTAATGTTAATTCGAAGAGATCATCAGGACCAAAGAAGTGAAAATTGAATTTTGTTTCAATTTCACCCTCCTGTCTCCAGGATGTAGGGAATGCATTAATATATATATATTTTTTTATTAAACCAAAAAAAATAATTGTATTGAGCTCTTTTCAAGAAAATGTTTCTTAGGAGAGCACAGATGTCATGGATCAAGGAGCAAGAATCGCTAACCGCAATCATGTCAGAGCCACATCATTGCTAATGACTGAAAGTATGTTTGCTTTACAAAATGTTAAAATACTTTTTTTTTTTAATAATTACTGAAACACAATTCTATTGTTTCCATGCAAAGATTCTAAGATAAAATGATTACAAAAGTACAGATTCCCAGAGGGGATATAAACATAAAATAAAACTGTGATATATATTTTTAGAAATGCTATTCATATACAGATATAAATACAAAAAGAAAAGTCCTGCTCTCACTCCCATCACTCCTGGGTGGCAGCAACGACCACAGTACACATCAGCTCCAATACATATAGTAAAAACCAAATAAAAAGTTACATGCACTCTCTCCTTAATCCCTATGCATATTTAAACAAATGGAGGTCATTTAGTTACTTTAATGGCCACTGGAGGGAATTTACTCCAATGGCCACTGGAGGGAATTCCCTCCTGTGACCATTGGAGTAACTAAATGACCTCCATTTGTTTAAATATGCATAGGGATTAAGGAGAGAGCGCAGGTAACTTTTTTCTTTGGTTTTTACTACATATACAGATATAGATAAACACAAAAAGAATTCAGCGCTAGTAATCACAAAATTAGTCAAGGTAGGCAGCAACCCAAATGAAGGAAAACCCCTCGGGTCCTTCAGTGGATAGATACAAAATGATATGGAAGGGCTGCGCCAAATAAGGGTAGATAGTCCAGTAAAGTATTGCTAGGGTGCCAATAGATGGTCTAGGATACTTGATAGAGTTCCTCTGTGGATGCGTCTGGTGTAGACCGTTCCGTATATGTAAATACAAGAGAGGTAGAGGCGACTAATGGTATAGTATGAAAGTTCAGGGTGTGATAGGTAACAAAAAGTAAAGAACTCACATTCAAGAGAGCTATGGCCAGCTCTGGTGTGGATTGCGTACAGCGGTATAATCCCCGCTTATGGGATATGTAGGGAGGGGTCTCCGTCAACACCGTCTGGTAGTCCAGAGCTCGAAAAAGAAAGACAGAAAGCAACAATAGTGCTCTCAATTTTGATGTGGTTCAATGTGCAGATAAGAAGAGGTAAAAAACTCACATTTGAGGGAGCTATGGCCAGCTCTGGTGTGGATAGCGTACAGCGGTATAATCCCCGCTTATAGGATATGTAGCGGCGATACGTCCGTCAGCACCGTCTGGTGATCCAAGGCTCCAATATAGAAGAATAAAAAGCAGCAATAGTGCTCTCAATTGTGATAGGTTAAGAGAGTAGTAGAGAAAATAAAATAATACTCACAAAAGATAGAGCAGAGGTACTGCTCTATGGATAGGCGCCGGTGGTATGATCCCCACCTAGGATTTCTTGGAGTACTGGAACTTTAAAATTGCCAATGGAAGTAAAAGTAACCAGGAAAGGTTAAAATGCCAGGAATAGGTAAAAACAAAAGTTGTTTAAAGTGCATAAAGAGTGCAATAAAAAGAGGATTGGTACAATAAAGTAGCCAAAAAACTTTTATTGATCTAAAATACACAGTAAAATACAGAATTAATAACCATAAACGCGTTTCACCATAAGTGGCTTCTTCAGAATGGGATAAAAGTAGTAACCTGGCAGGGGTTGTTTAAATAGGGCTATGTTAATTTGAAAATTGCGCCAAAAGTGTAATTGGCCAATCAGAGACAATTTTTAAAATCACTTTTCAAAATTAGGATTCAAGAGTATGGGAGTGATGTTATAAAGGTGATGAGTCCATTTAAATTATTTAAATGTGAAAACGAGAGTGAGAAAGTTGTTTTGAAAGAGAAAGAAAGGAAAAAAAAAAAGAAGTTGTTTGATTAAAGTTAAA